TGCCCTGCCTGCATTGCCCTATAGGCACCGTGCATTGTCACCTATGGGTGCCCTGCCTGCGTAGCCCTATGGATGCCGTGCGTTGCCCTCCAGGGGACCCCTGCCCGCATTGCCCCACGCATGCAGCTGCGCCTCGCTGTGCGCTCGCACCCACATCGCCTGCTTGCCGGGCCGTGCCCGCCCCAGCCGTCCCCCCGGTGGGGCGGTGGGTGCCGGATGACCGCCGCGCTGGCTCGCCCTGACTGCAGTGGTGGCGGTTGCGGTGGCCCCAGTTGCGGAGGGAAGGGCCGTCCCACGTGGTGCAGCCGGCGGGGCCACACGGCGATGCCGCGTCCCCGCTGTGTGTGTGTGCCGAGTCCTCCAACATGGAGGAGCTGCTGCGGCGAGGCTGTGACGGGGCTTCACCGCAGCGCAGCCTCCCACGGGGGTTAAACTGCCGGGGAGACGGGGCAGGCGAACCCCGGGAGCTGCTCCCAGCTCCTCTCCTTGAGGCCGTGCCCCCCCTGCAGCCACGTCCTGGGGGGGGGGTGGTTCTCGGGACCCCACTGCTGCGCTTTGCCAGGTCGACCCCTCTAAATGGCTGCAGCTCCCAGCTGGTGGGGACAGGCGAGGGTCGGGGACGGGTGACCGAGGGCAGGTGTCACCGAGTCGAGTGCTCGCTCTCAAATGAAGCCCACGTCTAATTACGAACCGCCCTCTCCCTCCCCAGGGCCGGCGGCGCTGCCTCGGCACTCGGGAAGGATGCAGCAGTGGTCGAGACCCCCAAATTGCTCCTCGAAACGTGCAGGGTTTGCAGCTGGCCGCAGCCCTCCTGCCACGGGGATGGGCAGCGCCGGAGGGGGAGAAGCAGCCGGAGAGCGAGTGGCCATTTTGTGCTGTTTGGACATCTTAGCCCCGGCCTGCCAGTGCTGCAGTTGAACTGTCCGGGGGTGCGATGCCCACAGCACCCGGTGCTCGTTGCAGACGCTGCCCTTGGCCTCTTGTCCCCTCTGGGAGGGCAGGCGTTGAGCCACGGCACTCCCGGTGTGCCGGGAAGCCCACGGTGCCGGCTGAGCCCAAGTGGGTATGGCTCAGGCACCGTCTAGGGTCTCCTCGCAAACGCGCTCCTGCACCCTGAGCATTCCCAAGAAGTTGCCAGGTAAATGCCGGGACGGGCACAGTTTGCCACGGGCAGAAAGCAGGCAGGGCACCGCGGCGATGTGGCACGGGTCCTCTGCCAGTCCTGCACTGCATGCGACGCCCGTGCCGGAGCGCTTCTGCGAGCAGCTGATGGCTCAGGTGTGGGTGCTGCGGGTCAGCTCTTCCCCGGAGCGTTTCCCTGCCATCGAAGGGATGTGCAGGCAGGGCACCGTGCAGGCAGCTGCCTGGGGAGCAGGGGTGCATGCGGGGTTCACCCCCCCGTTTGCGCACCCGCGAGGTGAGCCCTGGCCCTGCGTTGCAGCTCCTCGCGCGGATCGAGCGCATGGAAAGGCGGGTGCAGCTGGTGAAGAAGGACAGCGAGCGGGAGAAGCACCGCATCTTCCAGGGCTTCGAGGTGGACGAGAAGCCGGAGGCGGAGGCGTGTGAGAAGCTGCCGCTGGAGTGTCCCCAGGACCTGCTGGAGCCCCCCCCGACCCTGCAGCCCAAGCACTTCCCCTACGGCAGGAACGGGAAGGGGCATAAAAGGTAGAGGGTGCTCGGCTCTGCTTGTGTGGGGCCTGGGGGGGAAGGTGGGGGGGACCTTCCCCATGGCTTGGCCTTCCATCTGTGGGGCTGGCACTACCCAGGGCACTGAGGTGCCAGCTCAGCCCAGCGACCCTCGAGCCGCTCGGAGAGGCTGCCCGGCACTGGGAGCGCATCCCATCGAGCGCTGGTGCTGGCCAGGGGGAACCTCGTGAAAGTCTGGGTGAGGAGGAGGGGGAGTCCCGAAATGCCGGGAAAGCCCCTCTTGCCTTCAGAAACTTGCCTCCGGCCGGCCCTGGTGTGAGTGTGCCAGTAGTCTCCCACGGCAGCCCCTGTGCTGGGTGAGGATCCACGCGCCCAGCTCAGCTCCTCTTCCTCCCGCAGGAAGCCGACGTTTGGGAGCGCAGAGAGGAAGACGCCCGTTAAAAAACTGGTGTCCGAGTTCTCGAAAGTGAAGAGTAAAACTCCAAAGCACTCCCCGGGGAAGGAAGAATCGAGCGGCTCCTTGTCTGAAACTGTTTGTAAACGAGAACTGCGGAGCCAAGAGACTCCAGAAAAACCCAGGTCGCTCCTGGAGACGCCGCTCCGAGCCTCAGTCCCGCTGAAGGGCCCCGGCGCCCACCCCAAGGAGAAGGGCTTCTTCAGCAGCGAGACAGACGACCTGCCCTATCTCTCAACCACGGAAATGTACTTGTGCCGCTGGCACCAGCCGCCCCCGTCGCCGCTGCCGTTGCGGGAGCCCTCCCCAAAGAAGGAGGAGACTGTAGCAAGTAAGCGATGGAGAGCCTGCTGCGGCGCTGGCACCACCATGCCGGGTGTTGGGGCAAAGCCGGCGGCCAGAGAGGGGCTCACCCGCCTCGGGGCAGCTGGGGAATGGGGCTCGGCACCCTCACCCAGAAGCCAGCAAAGGGCGGAATCTCAGTCGCGGTGGGAGAGGTGCAGCTGGTCGTGCCGTGCCGCTGGCTCCTCCCGCGGCAGCAGGTAGCAGCTCTGGTGCCGGCGATGGGCTCTCCTGAACCATGTCTCCGGCTTGCCCTGCTCCGGCGTGTGCCGGGCTGCCACTGCCTGCATGGCTGAGCCAAGGGCAGCGCGCTGGGCAGAGCTGCCGGCCCCACTCCGCTTTAGCTGCCCGGTTTGCCAAGCAGCCCGTGTGCCCGTTTGAGCGAGGGGTGAAGCAACTTCCCGTTTGCGGTTGGGAAACGTCTCTCTGGCTTGTGCCACCATGGCACAGCATGGGTTCCTCCACGGGGTCGCCTGCTGCCCCCGAATCCGGTGCCTGTCCTGCCGGCTGCCCCTTCCCAGCCGGTCTCCTCGGGTCCTGCAGCATGGTGAGCACCGGCGGTGAGGAGCACTGGGCTGTGCCAGTTGCCGATGCTGCCGGCGGAGGCTGCGCTGGATGGCCGAGCGCTCTGGTGCGGGGGGAGCTCGGTGTGTCTCCTCTCGGAGCGGCTCAGGTTTGCTTGCGTGCTTGGCTGGGGGGATGGCGATGAGCTCTGCCTCCCTGTGGGCACCCCCTCCAGCAAGCTCCCACTGCCCTCAGCCGGTGGCATCGCCCAGCCTGACTTGGGACGGGGGTTTGGGGGAGGCTGAGCGGCACCCTCCAAGGGAGGGATGGGCTGGAAAAGAGCAGCGAGGCAGTGGGGATGGGGCTGGAGTGTGGGGCCGTGGGGGTCCCAGCATGGGGCTAACAGCCTGGCCTCTCATCCTGCAGTTCCATCTTGGAGGGACCATGTTGTGGAGCCCCTGAGAGACCCCAACCCCTCAGACATCCTGGAGGTACGTACACTGCCCTGGTGGGTGCAGCGGCTGCTGTCAGAGCCGGCGTTGCTGCAGGCTCCTTCCCAGCTGTTTCACTGCTCCAGGAGAGTGGCTTGTGGCATTTGCTGCTGCTGCGGGGCTGGCGGCATTGTGTCCCCTCATCCGGCACAAACAGCACGGCAAACCCCGGCTGCAGTTGGAGGGTTGGGGTGGGGGTGAAGGGCCAACCCCTCTGTGCCACGGCGGCTTTGGGGGGCTGTGCCAGGGCTGCCAGCAGCAGGCGGACGCGCTCATCCCCATCTATCCTTGCAGAATCTGGATGACAGCGTCTTTTCCAAACGGCATGCGAAGCTGGAGCTGGATGAGAAAAGAAGGAAAAGGTGGGAGCAAAGAGGGTGATGGGGGTCTGGGGGCTCCCAGCAGAGCGGGCGGTCTGCATCTGCTCATGCAGGGATGGGTCCTGGGGTGTCACCAGGAGCGGGGGGACACGGGACCCGGCCGCCCGCAGCGCAGCCGGAATGGGAACCAGAAACCCTGCTGGAGAAGGGATGCTCCCGCATTGCTGCCAGTGCAGTGGCCCCGGCACAGCCCCCTGAGCTCCCCAGGAGGGTTGTGTTACCTGCCTGCTTGCTGCCTGCAGTTGCTCACTGCCCCCCCCCACCCGGGGGCATCGCATTTTCCAGGTGGGACATTCAGCGGATCAGGGAACAGAGAATTCTACAGCGGCTGCAGCTCCGAATGTACAAAAGGAAAGGAATTCAGGAGTCAGAGCCTGAAGTTACCTCATTTTTCCCTGAGCCAGATGACGGTGAGTGTCTTTGGCATTGGGGGGCAGGCAGGGGTGTTGGGGGGCAGGCAGGGGCTGTGTAACACTCTGGTGTCTCTCCCGCAGTGGAAAGCTTGCTCATCACCCCGTACCTGCCTGTCGTCGCCTTTGGCCGGCCCCTACCAAAACTGACCCCACAGTGAGTACCGGTGTCACCAGTGGCGGGAGGGGACGAAGCTGGGCTGAGCCAGGCACCGCTGCTCAGGCCGGCATCCTTGGCATTGCCCGCCGGGAGGGTGCTGGCATGTTTTGGGTCGGGGTCAGAGCACGCTGACGCCAGCTCTGCCCGCAGGAACTTCGAGCTGCCCTGGCTGGACGAGCGCAGCCGCTGCCGGCTGGAGATGCAGAAGAAGCAGACGCCACATCGGACCTGCCGGAAATAGCGGAGCCACCGGGAGCTCCGTACATCACCGGGTCGTGCCAATGGCCGCTGCCCTCTCCTGCCTTCTCGTTGACGGATGGTTTAGTTCCTCCGTGACCCCAGTTTTGTTCTCTTGGGTTTTGCAACACGTTTCCTGGACTTGTCCGCCCATGCTGGCAGCCATATCCCCAGCGGCACCGGTCAGCTACCGGCTGAGGCTTCCCGCCGGCTGCTCCGGTCCCGGGGGGCAGTGGGTGAACCCCAGACCCTGCCTGCCCATCCTGCCCGTCCTCGCTGCCTGCCGCAGCTCCGCACGCTGCCCTTGCCCTCCTGCAGCCGACGTTCGGTTTATTTTGGACATTTGGCTTCGAGCCGCGGGCGGGAGCACGGAGAGCACCGGGGCCAGACCCCGGTGTCAGGGGGTGCTGCGTCCGCCAGCCAGGGAGGCCGCATCCTGCCAGGACTCTGCCCGCTGCTGCCTTCTTGTTATGTTTAGTTAGAAAATGGGATAAACACCAGTTTGTGTCCAAGTGGTGTGAGAGGCGGCAGCGGGTGCTGCCGGTGGCTCCCAGCGCTGCCGGCCGGTGCCCTGCCGTGGCGAGGAGCGGGGTGCCGGAAAGTGCCGGGAAGCCTCTTTGTTTTTCTTTTTTTTCAACCCCCCCCCTTGAGTGGCTGTAATGGGGTCAGAGGGGAGAGTTTAAAAACAAAACTTTTTTTTTTTTGTGAAATAGAAATCCTATACGCACAATTTTGGTTTTTTTAAAATTTTTTTTTTTATAATTTAAATGTTTTGAGGTTGGCGAGGTGTGCCATAAGGAGTTGGGTTGGTGTGAGAGCTGGGGCCGTGTCCGCTCTGCCGCGGCGTCCCCTGTCCCGGCCGAGCCCCCCTCCCGGTGCCACCGGACCCCCCCCAGCCCCAGGTGCTGGGGACCGGACCCCTGCGGTGCTGCCGGACGGGTTGGGGGTGGGGGGCTCTCTCTGTGTCCCCCACTCTGGCCAGGCTCTCCCCAGCCTCCCCTTCAGCAGAGATTAAATAGGAAAAACGTTCCGTTTCTTTTCTTGTCTCGTCTTTCCTCCGGTCCTGTCCCTGCGTGGGCCCTGGTCCCCCCCCCCCCGAGTTTTATCCCCCCGCCCCTCCACCGCACCCAGCTGCTTTCTGGTACCGAGGTTAATTAGCGGAAGGAAACTTGTTTTTAAAAAAAAAAGTTTAAAAAAAAAACTAAAAAAAAACCCAAAAGAAAGGAAATGTGTTTAAAAAAAAAATATAAACACGTTAGCGGTGGGCGCTGCCCGTCCTGCCCGCGGGGG